CACCTAGCTGGCAGAGTTGGTCTTAGGATGCCAGGTGCCAAACCTGGAGCTGGCACAGAGTAGGTTCCTTGCTTCTTTGTCGTGGCCCCTCAGCACAGACAAAAATTGCTGCATTCCTGCCTTCCCTGTTCCCAAGATCCCAGCCCGCTCCCCAGCCTCTCTCACCTTGAGGACCTGGGGCTCCCTTCTCCCCAGGACTTCCTGGAGCTCCGGGACAACTGGGCAGGAGGACAACTTTGCTGGCTTCCAGTTCCCTGGGTCCTACAGGGAGACACAGGCAGGGTGGGCACAGGGTAGACTGTCTCTTCCAGACCCCTCTTCAGTTCTCTTCCTGTCTCCCAGATTCCCTCTGTCAGGATGCTTGTCTCCTGAGCTGGCAAGGTTTCGCATGCTTTGCATGTATTTGCATATATTTACATGCAGAGCCCAGATTATGAAACTCCCATCCTGCTCCTTGAGGTTGATGAGCCTTGGTGGAGGGACACCCAGTGAGGGAATGAGGAGTGGGTTGGTGAGGAGGGCACCCTAGGTACCTACCTGGGCAGCTGGGGTGTTCCTGGGTCTTCAGGCAGGCAGGTCCCCCAAGCAGGAGGAGCCACAGGGAAGGCAGGATCCACCGTAGACCCATCTTGCTGGGGCCACCAGGGGAAGGATGCCAGATTATAAGGCGGCCAGGCTGGTGGGAGGACATGAAGTAAGACTTCCTTCCATTGTCCCCCAGGGACATCCCACCCAGACTGGAGCCAGCAGAGGGTAGGAGTATTTCCTTCCTCAACCCCAGAGAGAAAGGGCATTATTCCTGCCCTATCCAACCAGGATGAAGTCCAACATCTTCTTTTCTTTTTTTTTTTTTTTTTTTGAGACGGAGTTTCACTCCTGTTGCCCAGGCTGGAGGGCAATGGTGTAATCTCAGGTCACTGCAACCAATGCAACCTCTGCCTTCTGGGTTCAAGTGATTCTCCTGCCTCAGCCTCCTGAGTAGCTGGGATTATGGGCGCCCATCACCATGCCCAGGTAATGTTTTGCATTTTTTTTTTTTTAGCATAGATGGAGTTTCACCATGTTGGCCAGGCTGGTCTCGAACTCCTGACCTTAGGTGATCCACCCACCTCGGCCTCCCAAAGTGCTAGGATTACAGGCATGAGCCACCGCACGCTGAAGGAGTCCAACTTCTGATCCTGGCTTCCAGGGCTCCCCAGCCATCTCTCTAGACCTCTACATTCACAGTCATCTCTACCTATGAAGGCCCATCTGTCCATGAAGGTCTAGCTCTACAGCCATCACCACTGGGAATCCTTCCTCAATCCTTGTCAATGCTATGAATAGTGACAACTGCTACCATTTACTGGGCATCTACTGCATTCCAGTGTCATACTGATGTCACCTCCGATCCTTACACGGACTTGCTATTAATCCTTATTATTGCATTATGGGCCTGGTACAAAATGGGTGCTCAATAAAAAATAGTTAAATGAATAAGGAAAGAGAAACTGAGGCCCATGGATGGGACGTGACTTCTGTTCTCTTGGCCACTTATATGCTGAGAGCCACAGAGTTTTACCCAAGCCCCATGTCCCCCCAGTGAAAAGCACCATTAAGAAAGTGATTCTGGCTGGCTGTGGTGGCTCATGTCTGTAATCCCAGGACTTTGGGAGTCCAAAGCAGGCAGATCACCTGAGGTCAGGGGTTCGAGACCAGCCTGATTAACATGGTAAAATCCCATCTCTACTAAAAATAAAAAAATCAGCCAGGCTTGGTGGCATGCACCTGTAATCCCAGCTACTCGGGAGACTGAGGCAAGAGAATCACTTGAAAGGCAGAGGTTGCAGTGAGCCGAGATTGCACCACTGCACTCCAGCCTGGGCAAAAGAGCAAAAACTCCATCTCAAAAAAGAGGAAAAAAAAGAAAGTGACTCCATGCTCAACCTTGAGTCCCGTGAGGCTTGGGAAACAGCTGCTAATGTAGGCCAATCGAGCAGGAAGCCCTTGTAGGAAGGCCGGGAGGCCGGGAGGCCGGGATGACGCAGCAGCCAGGGTCCAGATGTGAAGGATGAGGCCTGAGCTGGAGAGGGACCTCAGGTGATAAGGGAGGAGAGGAACGGCTCATTCATTCACTCATTCAGCAAACCCTCCCTCAAGGCCTCCTCTGCACCTCCCCAGTGCTCGTGGGGAGGGCTGAGGTACAAGAGGTGTCAGGGGAAGTGGAGGCTGTGTTTGCCTGATAGGATGTGTCAGCGAGACGGATGCCCTGAGATTGCAATTCCAGTTCTAGGAATCTGTCTTCCCCAGACTGTCCCACGAGTGTGCCAAGATCTGCAGATAAGTCTGTTTACCACAGTGCTGTTTGTAAGCATCAACGTGGAAATGACCCAACCAGCCACTGATAGGATTCACATGAATTAGGACCATTCAGACAACTCATAGGGTAAATCTGATCTAAAAATGAGAGGGGCGAAAATGCAAAACAGTATGCACAGTGTTGTGTTATCCCCCTTTGTATTTTTAAAATGCTAGAGGTGTGTGTGTGTGTGTATAGTAAATTCACAGAAAAAGTTCTGACACAGACCTTGTGAACTGTGGTTATTTCTGGAGAGTAGGACCAGGGAAGAGGTGGTTCTCATTTTTTTTTTCTTTTTCGGAGACAGGCTCTCACTCTCTCACCTAGGCTAGAGTGCATTGGTGCCATCATAACTCACTGCAGCCCTGACCTCCTGGACTCAAGCAGTCCTCCCACCTCATTCTCCCAGGTAGCTGGGACTCCAGGCAGAGCCACCACACTGGGCTAAATTTTTATTTTTATTTTATTTATTTATTTTGAGACAGAGTCTCGCTGTGTTGCCCAGTCTGGAGTGCAGTGACTCGATCTCGGCTCACTGCAACCTCCGCCTCCTGGATTCAAGCGATTCTCCTGCCTCAGTCTCCCAAACAGCTGGGATTACAGGTGCATGCCACCATGCCCAGCTAGTTTTTGTATTTTTAGTAGAGATGGGGTTTCACTATGTTCGTCTGGCTGGTCTCAAACTCCTGACCTCAAGTGATCCACCTGCCTTGGCCTCCCAAAGTGCTGGGATTACACGTGTGAGCCACTGTGCCCGGCCTGCATTTTTATTTTTTGTAGAGATGGGTTCTCACTATATTGCCCAGTCTAGTCTCAAACTCCTGGCTTCAAACAGTCATCCCACCTCAGTCTCCCAAAGTGCTGGAATTACAGGTGTGAGCCACTGTACCTCCTGACCAGTTTTTTTTTTTTTAAATATATATATAGGGTCTCACTCTGTCACCCAGGCTGGAGCGCAGTGGCATGATCTTGGCTCACTGCAGCCTGGACCTCTCAGGCCCAAGTGATCCTCCCACCTCAGCTTCCTGAGTACTTGGGACCACAGGTGTGCACCACCACACCCAGCTAATTTTTGTATTTTTAGTAGAGATAAGGTTTCGCCATGCTGCCCAGGCTGGTCTCCAACTCCTGAGCTCAAGCAAGCCTGCTGCCTGGGCCTCCCAAAGTGTTATGATTACAAGCATGAGCCACCACACCCAGCCCAGTTCTCACTCTTCATATAAACTTCTGTATAGTCCTTTTTCAAACCCTCACAGGCATTTACTACTTTTGCAAGAAAAAGAAAGCATCCAATAAAGGAGGAGGGTGAAGAAGAAAACTCGTGCTGGGGGAGAAACAAGGGCAGGGTGACCCAGGCAGGAGGAGCTGCTTATGCAGAAGGCTGGAGAAGAGAGAAGGCAAGGCAGATGGGATGTTATCATATCCCATAGAGGGGAAGCAGCAGGGGCTCTAGGAGGCCAGCGGGGAGTGCACAAAGGGGAGGCTGATTTCCAGAGGCTGGGAGCTTTGGCGGAAGTGAGGGTTCGAGGGAGGGGTGAGGAGGTGGACTGTGGTTGGCAGGGGGAGGTGGAGGTTGCAGTGAGCCAAGATCTTGCCACTCTAGCCTGGGCGACACAGTGAGGCTCTGTCGCAAAATAAATAAATAAATAAATAAATAAATAAAAGAAAAAATAAAATAAAATAAAATAAAAAGTTATAAGATTCGCAGCTACATGCCTGGCTCCTGACAAGTACCCATCCGTGGGAGATGTTACCATCAGGGAAGACTTCGGTGTCTGGGGACAGAAGGCAGGGCTTCCCAGGAGGGCCTGAAAGAGGAAGGCCAGAAATGGCTACTCGGAGTCCCTGGGCACTTCCACCTTGGCACTGGGACAGAGACCTAATTTTTGGAGGCTGAGCAAGCCTGGAGATGCGTCTGGAATGCTGTTCTGCTCACTCTGGAGTCAGAAAAGCCTGAATTCATTTTATTCTTTATTTTTATTTTCCTTTTCTTTTTTATTGATGGGGTCTCAACTATGTTGCCCAGGCTGGTCTCCTGGACTCAAGCGATCCGCCCGCCTCAGCCTCCCAAAGTGCTGGGATTCTAGTCATGAACTATGACGCCCAGCCCAGAAGAGCCTGAACTGAAACCCCAGCCCTGTCCTGTCCGGCTGTATGACTTGAGCATGTGTACTTACCTGAGTCTCTCATCTGTAAAGGGGCAGGGGGTGGGGGTTAAGCAGGTGTCAAAGATGAACTTTTTTTTTTTTTTTTTTTTTGAGACAGAGTTTCACTCTTGTTGCCCGAACTGGAGTGCAATGGCGCAATCTTGGCTCAACGCAACCTCCGCCTCCCAGGTTCAAGCGATTCTCTTGTCTCAGCCTCCCAAGTAGCTGGGATTACAGTGTGCACTACCACGCCTGGCTAATTTTGTATTTTTAGTAGAGATGGGGTTTCACCATGTTGGTTAGGCTGGTCTTGACCTCCTGACCTCAGGTGATTCACCCGCCTCGGCCTCCCAAAGTGCTGGGATTACAGGCGTGAGTCACTGCGCCCGGCCAGGTGAAAATATTTTAAAAGGTAACAGCGAGAGTCCTAGGTGAAATTCCCGTTAAGAAGAGGACAATGGCCGTACCATCACCCCATCCAATCCACACACAGCCCAAGACACAGGACATGAAGCGCAGTGCAGAGTTCCTTTATTTGGGGGCAGTGCCCAGGCCAGTTGGTGGAAAGAGGCAGGCACACAACCCAGTGCCAGGCTAGGGGGCCCAGCAGGGGTGATGGAGGAGACGAGGCGGTTGAGGGATGCTCTCAGCTGCAAGTTCCAGGGCCAAGACAGGAGGAGATGTCAGGCATCAGACACTGAGCCTGCTTGGTGCCCACAGGAGCCAAAAACTGGTGGCCAGAGTTTTACCCACCCCCCCCCCACTTGCCCACAAGGGGGCCAAGAGGCCAGCCTCTGCATCCTCCTTTCCACTCAGAATGGAGTGCAGGCCCAAGGGGGTCAGATTCTGCGGAGGCCAAAGAGGACACTCAGGGAGGTGACCCTGCCTCAGCCAGCCAAGGACCCCCTGCCTCGAGAGGAGGCAGCAGAGGAAGAGCAAACACTTTAACACAGGCTGCGGCGAGCCGCCCCACAGCACACACAGCACGCAGAGGGCCTCAGGCACAGCTCCCCTTCTCAGAGCAAAACCCAGCTAGACACACGGCCCAGCTCCTGCCCACAGCCACACAAATGCAGGCCACAGGCTTGCCTGGGCTGGCACCTACTGGTTCTCTTCCCTGCTGGCAGCATGAAGGGAAAAGACATGGGAGGGCTCAGCTGGGCTCCTAGACCAGCCCAGGCTGAGTCCTGGTTCCAGCCAACACCTGACAAAGAAAGCCCCGCAACTGGAGGAGACAAAGGGGGTGCGGCTCACGTGGGGCATGCTGTCACTGTCCTGAGGGCTTGCCCATGGAGAAGACAGCACCCTGGGTACTGAAGGGGAACGGTGGGGCAGGAACCAGGAGGTGAGCTGGGACTCAGGTACTGCTGGCCAGGTACTCACAGCGTCTGGTAGGTGCTGTCCTTGGCCTTGAGGAAGCGCAGCACAAAGAAAGCCACCGCCTGTAGGCTCAACACCAGCACGACACCTCCGATAAAGCTGGCCCCGTCAAATCCAGGGCTGTGGGCCTCAGGGACTGTGGGGCTTCCTGCAGGGGGGAGGCAGGGCAGGGGTCACAGCAGTCACTGTGAACCAGGATCCCAGTCCCACCCCACAACTGGCACAAGTAACCTGGAGGCCCCGGTCCTCAGTATGGGGTCCTTGAACCCCGGGCTCAGAAGTTTAGTCCAGATTCTGCAGGCAGTTGGGAAGCGCCTGGTGGGAGGAACAGTGGCAGGGGAAGGTGGGGTGCTGTCCAGCCCTGGCTCTGCTCCTGGCTTGCCCTGTGGCTTTTATGCCACCCACATTCTCTCTGGGCCTCATGATCACATGGTCCAATAGGTGTCTTGGACCAGTGACTGGACTCGCACCCTGCCTGGGCCTCACTAGCCCAATAGGGTGAAGACAGAGCCAGAACTCAGACCCCCTGCTCAGAATTCCTTTCAGTCTTGGACCTCAGGGTTCAGAGCCAAGATGCAGATGATATAGTCCCTTTTTAGGACCCCTAAGCCCTAAGACCCCAGTGTCACCCAACGTCAGAGCCCTCAGAGAGGGAAGGAGCAGGGGGAGAAGTGGAAGGCCCAGCTGTCACCCTGCTAAGTGGGTAAGGGAGAACTGGACAGCGTGTGTTGGGGGGAACAGGGCTGAGGGACAGGCTTGGCCAAAGTCACCTCACAAGACACAGTCAGACTCACACAGGGTCCCCTGACCATTTCCTCTGCCCCTTAGAAGGTAGAGCCTTAGGGCCATGGTTGCCAGGCTATGCCTGGGTGGCTCCCAGCTGTGCCACGGTACCTGTCCACTCCTAGCAGGGATTCAATTTCAGGCCCTGGGCTGGGTGCCCAGAACAAGGCAGGGCTGGTGGATGGAAAAGCATTCTGGGACAGTGGAAAGGGGCCCAGCCTGAGCTGGGTCCACCTCCCAGAAGGTGTAAGGGGTGGAAGGAGTCTGACAATATGAAGGGCAAACAATGGTCCCAGCTCCTGCTCAGGGAGCCCCAGAGAAGGAAGCTGGGGGATGAGGAGCAGAAGAGGGGAGAAATGAGCTGCACGAGGCCGATCTGGGGCTCCAGCTGAGGGAGCTGAGCCATCAATAATTCAGCTTCTGAGATCAGTTTCTGGCTTTAATTAACCAAGGGCCTCTTCAGCCATCCCTGCCAAGTCTGGTGACCTCCAGCCCCTGAGAGGGAATGGGAAGCAAGGGGTGGTGTTCTCGCCTCTGCTCTGCCAGGAATCCGCCTTGTGACCCTCTCTGGGCCTGGAGGATACAGTAGGCAGACCCTGAGGATGTCTCCTGAGCAACTCGAGCTGCACACCCTCACCTCCAAGGACAAGTCCCGAGGGGTCACCTTGAGTTCCCAGAACTGGCAATGGGGAGGAGGGATGGGAACTGTCATTTCTTGATTGCCTTCAGTGAATCAGACACTGAAGTGGGCACCGTACAGCTTCTCATAAAACCTGCACAGCAACTCTATGAGGAAGGCATCATCCAGCCCATTTCACAGATGCGGAGACAGGCTCCGAGGGAGAAGGTGCAGGGCTGAGGTCACAGAGCAGGTCAGTGCCTGAGCCCAGAGCTGTCTTCCCCTGCACCTATGCTCCTCCCACTGCCCCGTACCCAGGGAGTACCCACCTGTTGTGACTGTCTTCGGTTCATAGGTGGGGTGGTGATGAGCAGCTGAGGAGACAGGGGATCCATAGCAAAGCAGCCTCCTCACCCTGACTCCCATCAAGACCCCAGCCCCCACTCACCGCTAAACTTCCGATTCAGATGCAGCCCTGTCCCTGCTCTAGACATCCAACATACTTGCAAGCCCCAGTCACACAGTTCCCTCCACCAGATGTGCTCTCTCTCCATCTCTACCTTCCAGGCTCATTACTGATGCCACTTCCTCCAGGAAGCACCCCCCTCATTCCCTCTGAACTTCCAAAGTCCTTGCTAAGCCTTAAACTAGAAGAAGAGCTAACGCTCCCATCCCCTCCATACACCTGTACTAATTTTCAGATGAGGAAACAGGCAGAGAGAGGAGGGGACTTCTCAGTGAGCTAAAGGCAGAACTGATACCGGGCCCAGGTATTGATGAGCACAGTCCACCCCTGAGAGAGGCTGTTTCCTCCTGGGGGGCAGGCTATGGCTGGGGAGACCCATGCAACTTGGCGTAGGCGCAAGAATCCCCTTACCTGGACATGCCTCTGAGCGGTTGTAGATGGAACAACCTTCCTTGACCACCTCAGCTTGAGCCACACAGTGTCCTGGAGGAAGAAGGTGCAGGGGGGAGATTTGGGGAGAGGGGCCAGGTCCTTGGGGTTCAGAGCTGGGGGTACTCAACCTAGGGAGGGCTCAGCTCCCTACCTGGCTCCTCTGGCTGGCACTGCTCCCACACGCAGCCGGAGAGATTGCGCGCTCTGTCTCCCTCCACGCAGTGCTCACAGACCTCCAGCTGTTTGCAGGCCCCCTGGACCGCCGGCCAGATGTTCAGGCGGATCAGGGCTCCGCGCCCAAAGCCTCGAGCTCCTTTACCTAGTAGTGCGGTAGAGTGGGAAGGGAGAACTCCTCGAAGCCAAGCTGTGGCATCCGCCCACCCTCCCACCCAACACTCCGGCGGCCCTCGCCCTTCTGCACACATCTGGGCTCTCACATACACTCGCCCCTGGATCCCCAAGCCCCAGTGCACACCTGTAGCTTCCACAGAACAGATCTACACACACCTAGAGCCTCCCCACATTCACCCAGAGCCCCTCCCTTTGCATACATCTGGGGTTCCCAGATTCAGTTGGAGCCACCTCCCCCAGACCACCTGAAGCTCCCTAGGCCCCCACACTTGGGGCCTATATTTACACACAGGGCTCCACACAGAGCTGGAGCCCCCTCTTCCACCCCTGGAGGCCTGCACTCGTCCAGAAAGGCCCCTGCTCTCAAGCCCAGGCTGCTCCTGGGGAGGCGGCTGGCTGAGGTGCAAGCTCCACCCGCCCCCGTCAGGGCCCTAACCAGACCCTGCCGCGAGTTACCAGCCACAGCCAGCTGGGCACACAGTAGGAGGCAGCAACAGCCGCCACAGAGCGCAGTCCGCAAGGCGCGGGCTCCCGACGCCTCCATGGGCTC